TATATATATATATATATATATATATATATATATATATATATATATATATATATATATATATATATATATATATATATATATATATATATATATATGTGTGTGTGTGTGTGTGTGTGTGTGTGTGTGTTTTTCTTTGCATTTGTTAAAACTGTCAGTATATTGTGACAGTATAAACAAAAAATCTGTGAAAAAAATTAAGTCTCTCTGCCTTCTCCCAGTACTAACTTCAGGAATACGCCACCCAGTCAGAAGCAACCAATCAGAGTCATGAGGTGAGTCTTGGTGCTGTCAATCAAGCTTATGTTATGTGCTGCTCACACCCTTTCCTGATAGCAGAAAGGTCATGTTAGTTAGCATAGCCATCGATGGTGTATAAACACTTTTCCTGCAATTTGTTTCTCTACCATTAGCACACTTAGCAGAAAGTACATGAGGATATTTGACAGCGATAAGATCCTCCTCCTGGCTCTGATTGGTTGGTCTTTGGTGGGAGCGGTAAATTTCGTCAGATGGCGACAGCAGGGAGGAGTTTGATCTCTTCAGAGATTATCTGCCTTATGTTAAACTGTCACAACATGGTGACAGTTTTAATAAATACGAAAAATATATTCTGTTAAAGTTAATTTCATGTAATTAAAGAAAAAAAACTATGAAGGTTGGTTTAAATAGATTTTCCTCCTTAATATATAATCCTAAATAAAAACTGCTTTTACATTTAATACAGCTCTATTCATCCGATAAGATTTATTTATCATCTGAAACATGTAAGAGGGAGAAAAACTAAACTAGTAATAAATGTAAATACTTTATGTTTCCCGCCATCCAACACCACATTCATCTGCAGGACAGCAACTATGAGCTGTTACTTGAGATTACTGCTGGGAGTTCATCTGTTATCAGACTTATACCTCATATCATCACCATCCATTGTCTATTTTCCAACATGCGTCATCCGTTTTTCCCAATAACGGTATGCAAAATCAAACTCATGGTTAATGTTCATTTTTGGCCATTATTGTGCCTATAAACATCACAACATAGATGTTTGTTTGTGTGCCAATAACCAGATGACGCAGCATCTGGTTTCAAGTTTAGCTCAGCATTTTCCTTGATAACAGAGATTTGATTACAGCAGCTCTGCAGATGAGGACGGGCGTGAGGCTGCTGCTGATGGGGAAGGAGATAATCCAGCATTCATAAGTGACAGAACTGAATGGTATGTTCTGAGAATGGCACAGCTCAGTAAATATTGTACAAATTGGAATCCAAGGAAAAACCCTTTTTTCGGGGTCCAATTTTGAGAAAACAAACAAAAAAACAGAAACCCTGTTGCTGTAGCAACAGTCAGTAAAATAGATGTGATGCTCCAGAATGCTGAGGCGTTCCAAATTAGTTTAGTTTGCAAGGAAACAAGATGGTTTTTATGATGCCACATAAAACGAGTGATTTGTGCTTCCACACTTTACAGTAAAATTAACTCTCTTTGAATATTTTTTCTTTACATTTTTATTTGTTATGTGCATAAACGTCAATTTTTTTTACAGGGACTTTATGTGACGGATCAACACAGAGTAGTTCATAATTGTGCAACCAGAGGAAAATGATCCTGGTATTCAAATAAGTCTTTTTAAATAACAAGAGCATTTGTACTGAAATGCTCTTCATATTTAGTCATTGTTTTCAAAAACAGCAAAGGTCCTGACAGACTGCATAGAGCACATCTTAACAATGTTCAATTCGTTCAAATGATCCCATTGCTTTTACATGTTGAAACCAGTTTTTACATAAACTGAATAAAAAGAAGCAAACACATTTTTTATCATTGCTTGAAGTTAAATCAGATCAGAACTTTTCTTGTTTTAGCTTATTTAGAATTACCTAAATTATTTTGAATATCGACCAAAATCCAATATCATGCATCCCTGTTTTCTGTTTGTTATTTTAATATATTGAACTATTTTGTAGACACCTATGGACATTATATCCATTTTGGGTAACACTTTATTTGAAGGGGGGTGAATAAGACTGTCATGGCACTGTCATAAACATGACATAACACCTGTCATGAACATGAAAAAGCCTTCATGAATTGTAAACAATTTAGTTAAGATTGAGAAAGATACAGATATTTGTGTTAAGTACAAACTTGTGAAAAAACCCAGAATGAGGCATATGAAGAGAACAATTAAAAGAAAGCATTCTAAAAATCTGAGCTCATTTGAATGAGTGTGTGATGTTTTAGGATTTTTTTAAAGTTTGGAGGTCAGATGAAGCAATTTTCCATTTTTGTAAATAAGCCCCACAAACCTCAGCCAACCATGACCATATTAAATATGTAAGATAAGACTTATTGCGTGAAAGTATATGCAAAGTTTGGCAAAAATAAAATTGCCAGTTTTTGTCTATAAACAATAAAATATCCTAAAGGTGTCGCTTCTGGTTGGCGGCCATCTTGAACTCATCCAGATGACAGCAGGCAGCGTTCTCACAGACATTCAACCAATTTCCTCCACCAGATCCTTCCTGTTCAGTCTGGAAACAGTTTTTAAACTGCCTTCACAGTTTGGAAGGAGTTTGTCAAAGTTTTCATCCCCATCAGGCTGTTTGTAGCGTACAAAGGCAAACTGAGCAAAACATAAATGCAAGTCAGGTTTATTGAGGAAAAGTTGAAATAAAAGCAAAAAGGATGAAGATTGGAAAAGAAAAACAAATAAAATGCTAAGAAAACTGAAAGACACTGAAGAGAGATAAAGCTGCACGTCAGTGGATCACAACGTCTCCAGATGTTACTGATTATGATGCATTTCATCCTCAACACAGCAGATCTGATGGTCACTTCAGGGTCTATTATGTGGAAATGGATCTGGAAAATATTAACAGTATAATTTCAGCAGAATGCATTTCAGATATCAGAAAATAAAATATCACCAGTTCTAAACCTGCAACAAGGCCTCTGGAGAGTCAGGACTGGGTTTCTCACTTTGGTGCAAAAATTAAATGTATTCTTTCTAAATAAATGCAGAAAGACCCAGGCTGGGATTCAAACGCAGGACCTTGTTGCTGCAAGCATTAGTGCTACTGACTGTGTTACTGAGCTGGACTGGAACATTAAAGCTGATGAGGGAAAAGTTTAACCAGAGTTTGGCCAAAACCTGATCCACAGGATCGCTATAGCAACCAAACTCCAAGATTTGAACGTTTATTCTGTGATGCTAACTTTTTTTATTTATAAAGAAAAAAAGAAAGAAAAAATTAGAGGAATCAAAAAAACAATAAACAAATTAATTAACAAAATAAATACATATAAAAAACAAAATATGAATGAAAATGAAAAACAAAAAATGGAACCTTGCAAATATGTATAAATTTAGAATCTTTAAATATATATATATATATATATATATATATATATATATATATATATATATATATATATATATATGTATTATTATTTTATTTATTTCAGTTAATTAATTTAACTGAAATATATATATTTCAGTTAATTAATTTGCCAATTGAATAGCTGGGTTTGGTAAATAAAGATGTTACTGATGGTGTTTTCTTAAGATAATGGAAGGAAATTTAAATCACCTGAAAAAGAAAATGTGACATTAATTATTTTCAACGTTGTTCTTGAATTTTAGAAAGATTTTAATGATGTTAGACCATAAACTCACATTGGCAAACATATTTCACCTCCAGGTACTTGTAGGTCCCAACACAGGGATCTCCGAACAAAGAGCTACTGGCCAAGACAGAGCACATCGATTCCCTGTCGCATCTGTGGATTCAGTTCAAAGTCAGTTTCCTAGAAATTGTGATTTGGCGTTTCTTGTATTTATTAATCCAAGACTGAAGGAAAGCTTCAGTCTTTCCTGTGTGAAAGACTGAAGCTCTGTACCTCTGAAACACTAAATCTGCATTCGTAGCACAATCAGTATTCTTTGTCTGGTCGTCAGGTATCCCATCGGAGCATGTCGTCTGGTTGCTGCGTCCATATGTAGCACTGATCACAGACATAGGCCAACGTCCTGCTGGTAGAGGGATGAGGAAATGTTGGAAACCTGAATGTATTCATGGTGTAATGCTCCAGAACCGACCAGTAAAACCAGTGACCTTACCACACAATATTTGAACCGCTGATTCCTCACATGCCACAATAGATACTTCCTGATTGATCCATTCAAGAGCTGTCAAATGAGATTCAGATCATATTCATATGAAGACACTTAACAGTTCAACCATTCCTGATCTATAACAAAATTTATGTATTATAACTTTATATTCAATAAGCTTGTCTTCATACTAAAACCTGCAACACTACCGTTTCTTTGAAAACCACGTCCTGCCTGTAAAAAAAACAACAAAAAAACAAACAAAAAAACAAAATGAATCACAAATGGAAACAACAGAGGATTTTTACTTCAAGCTTCTTGGAGCTGTAAGCATCAAATTAACATCTGGTTAACAACTGAATGACAAAAAAAAAAAAAAAACTATAATTAGTGTGCTCTAGGCATTCACACTACTGAGTTCCACTTTTCTGGTTGCTCCATACATTTTGCCACACTTCTGCATACTTTGTGCTATTTTCACCATTCAACTTTTATACTATTCAGCTTGCTCTCCTAATGCTGGCTATATCTCTTGGTATTCATAACCTTCCTACTTTTTATAATATTCAGCTTTTCATGAATTTTTCACCCCATGGAGGAAACGGTGGATGTTTTAGATCCTGCCTATTCATGGCAATCATGGAGGTTTCATGGAGGACACAAGGCAGCGGCCATTTTGAAGTTGGGCAGTTGAACTTCAAACAGCTTTTGTGCTGTTTAACACCTGGGAATAATTTGGGCTTCTGACATCGCTTTCTTTGTGCTGCATGCAGCATAGTTTTTGTAGTCACTGTGCTAAACAATGCCTCCAAACAAATGCTGATATCTTAGGAACCATAAGATATATGATATGATATGATATATATGATATATATGATATAAGATATATGATATCACATATGACTTCATATGTGATATCATATATCACTTAAAATGTACTTTTCACATTTTAGCTTTAACATGTTTTGTTGTTGTTTTTTTTACATTGCATGGAATATATTACTGCAACCTGACATGCTAGTGGTATCCTAGATGCTATCTTTAGTATTTTAGCTAGTTTTAGCTTTTTAGCTGATTTTGGCTTTTAAACGGGTTTTTCACACTGCGTGGACTATTTCTTACCTTTCTGCAAGTCTTCAGCAGTTGGCTTCAAAGGCTTTTGCCATTTTCACCCAAAGCATTCAGCACTGAGCATTCAGCATTCACACTTGCATTTTCATAGGAAATGCACATTTTCTAGTTGCTAAATAAAATCAGTAAAATAAAGTTTTTAACAACAGATATTCAAACCACAAGATGAAGAGGTTTTCACTCACATTGATTTCAAGGGCGAATCCACAAAGGAACAAAGTATAAAGGACAAATTTCATCTGTATGAAAATAGGAAACATTCAGTTCCTCTGAGATATGACTGAGAAAAACTCAATGATTTTCTGAAATATTTTCAACAATCTGCTGAACTAAATGGCACATTTTAATGAATAAATATGAACATAAAAGCTTTTAGTAAGATACCATTCCTTTTTGTAAGTTTAAATCTGACTAAATGAAAAATTGAAGCTATAGGTTGACATTTTCCAGTTTCCAGTCAAATCTTACCTTGTTGTGATGAAGAGTCAAAGCAGCAGCAGGACTCACTGGAAGCAGTGTGCCTTCAACCAGGGAATGGAGGCTTTATAAAGCTTCACTGATGATCTGACAGAGGAACAAAATGTCTTTACTCCTTCAACAATTCAGCCTGTGGAGTTTTTCTGACCAGAAGTTCAGGTTTGATGGGTGTTTCACACCTGAAGCCATTTCTCCTCATTCCTGGTGATAAATCACTGACCATCTCTTCATAGCCCCCAGCCCAGTGAGCAGGTCACACCAGACTGAAAATGTTGGGATGGAAAAACCCATTTGGGTTTTAGATACTGGCTGCAGCAGCCAGGTTGGGTTTTCTGTTCACAAAGAGTCTCGGCCTTGATGTGGGCCGTGATTCTGTCAGCCGTCTCCATCTGCTCTCTGGTTTTATACAGGAATCATAAACCATTAATGTATTTATCTGCTCTATGAAATCCCAGTTATTTTACTGTTGGATGAGTTCAATATTTGAAACCTTACTAATATCCAGAGGTGGGACCAAGTCACTGTTTTGCAAGTCTCAAGTGTCTCAAGTCTTTGTCCTCAAGTTTGAGTCAAGACTCAAGTCAAGAACTTTTAATTTCAAGCCACTTCGAGTCTTTTTTGTTCTTTTTTTAATAATTTGCAATTATACATAAAATGTAAATAATAGATCATTTGTTCTTTTGAAAATCTGTATTTATCTCAAATGATAGAACATGTGCAGCTGAACACAAAGTATAAAAACATTTTTAAATTGGACCTCTTTATTGCGCAGTTCTATTAAACTTGACATTCAATGAAAAAGACAAACCATCCTGTGATGGAACTGGTGGAGCTCTCCACCAGGTTTTTAGATTCTAGATTTCTACAGATTCCGGAAAAGCACAGAGAGAACCGTTATCTGTAAAAGTGATGTGGATGTTTCTGCACCAGAGTCTGTGCTGCTTTGTCTGGGACTGGAGGTTCATGTTTATGATTATGATTATTTATGTTGAATGAGATCCCCATAAGCATCAGCAACATGCTATAAACTACAAAAGGATTAAGATTTAGTTATAAATATCTGGTGTGGATGGTGTGATATTAATGATAAGAGCTCCTTCTCAAAGACAAAATGTTTAAAGCAAACTTTTTAGAAAAATAAAGCATCAGTTTTGTTTAGTATAAAATCCAACTTGTTTTTCCAAACTAACACCTTAAGCCTGACATTAACATTCTGACTTCTAGGAAACAGCAAAAGGTTAAATAAGCTCTAATAATCAGAAATGTGAAGAAGTAGCTTCAGGATTGACCTCCTTCTGACCCTGACCCTTCCCCTTACTCATCCTGGTCACAAGTAAAGTGGACGTGGTCGTTCTGCACGTTATTTTAAGGATTCCTTGGAGTTTTTCTTCCACTACTTGAGCTCCTCAATGAAGGAAAGGCTCTTGAACAATGCAAAGCCATTTACACATTGCTCCATCAACACAAGAAGCATAATTCTGAATTATTTCCTTTAGCAAAGCTAACAAGTGAGTCTTTTCTTGACTTTTCAGAAATAAGATTGAAATACCCAGATTAGTTTGTCCTCTGGAGTTTTTCTTATCTTAATCATGCAACAGCCCAGGAGCGAACTGTGGAGAGAAAGAGGCCTGGAAGTTCCTGACAGACCGGCCTGTGCATGCGTGCGAGTGTGCGTGTGTGTGTGTGTGTGTGTGTGTGTGCATGGAAACCCAATAAATTCTCTCTCATAAATGTGTTTTGTTTCTGAAAAAACAACAGAGCGTCTATTTTTGGAGCGATGATCAGGCAGTGTATCTTGCCGCCACGCGTATTTACATATTATTCACATCAGCTGGATTTATCGCCGCGGTTTTGTCGCCCCAAACATAAACCAAAGCAAACTTGGACAGAGTAATATATGGGCTGGAACGCCCACGGTTATAAATTAGGTTCTCGGCGCTGCGAGCGGGGCGGCCTAAAGCTGTGAGCGAGAGTGTAAGCATGAAGACATCATATCCCCTGAAAATGCAGCATGAATGTTAGCAGACCTCGAAAAGCCATCTTGACACTAATCCATAGCGTATTGCATTCAGCGCCTCCCGTCAGCAGCGCTGTCCTCATTACCAGTCAACCAGAGAGTTCTTTCCATCTTTGGCCTCTTTTCTTTGTGTTTCCAGCCATTTCACAGAGCTGGAAAAAATAATAATAATACATGGCCATTTCAACTCTACTGATAAAACAACTTTAATTAAGATGTTTGTGTGCTGTTTTGTTTAGGCAGAGCCGGTTAATTAAAATCCAGGTTATATTGGACAGCTAATTAAATCTCATTTCTTCCGAGGCCGATAGATTTGATGACCAATAACGGCGTCAATATCTGTATTTGTTGTTTTATTTGTCATCGTTCTTTACTTTGCTGTAATGACATTTTGGCGCTTCAGGCGATAATCCAAAAACAAACAAGAGGTAAGACCTGAACACACACACAGCATATGCTTTCAAACATTACATGTTCAACAACCATCCGATGTTTCCTCCTGCAAAGACGATTTGTAGTTGGTAAAGGCACTCACAGTCGAGCAATTAATGATTTTCTCCATGAATAATGCAGGTATGCAATAACATACTGCATGAGCTGGAATCCAGAGCGAGACACATTTCATCCGGTGTAATAATGACACAACTCACAGAGCAAAAGGAGATGATCTTATGATATATGAAGTGAGAAGTGTTTTATAATTCACCAGCAGGAAGTGTAGTGACCTCAAGTTTAGTGCTGCACAAAATTCTTCATTCCCTCGATGCGCCTCTGAATCAATGTCTGCAGGTTCTACTGAAATACTGAGCTTAA